AAATTAAATGTTTTTATAAACTCTTCAGACTGTTCCTGAAGTCTGGCGGCTGGCGAAGGGACCCCTTGGAAGGAACGCTTCTCCTCCGACCCTGCCCCACGGTCACGGGCGCTGCAGGTCCACATCAGGCATCTGTCCCGTGACTGCGTGTGTCCCACAAGGGTAGAGGAGGGCCTCCTGGGGGAGGGCCGAGGGGTCCCATGTCCCAGCGCACTGTGTCCCTGCCAGCAGCCCTGAGACACCCCGGGCCCCGGGAGCAGGTGCGGCACAAGCCCCGCAAACCATCCCGCTGGGGCTCAGGTCTGCGGTCAGCGGGGGCCCAGTGCTGCCAGAGGGCAGGCGAGGCGCCCAGGGGGACCGAGGGACCCTCCTCCCCGCTCCCCTGCTCCCACCTCGCCCACCCGGGACCCATCGCCGCCCGAGGTGCTGCCAGCCCTAGGGGACCCCTTCCTCTGGGGTCCGGATGTGACGAGCGCCGACTTCCGCCTCCGAGGCCTGAGAGAGGCGAGGCCCTGCGTGTGGGAAGCCGGATTCAGGTTGGCGGAGGGAAGGCGCCCAGGCCCGGCAGCCAGGCGTGCAGGTAGACCCTGCCCTGAGGGTGCCCCGAGCGGGGGGCGTGGGGGGCCCCTGGCGGCAGCCCCGAGAGACCCCGGGCCGGGGCAGCGCCGTCCGGCTGAGCCCTTCCCGCCGGGGCCAGGGCAGGGGACACGGGTCCCCAGAGGGACGGGCCCAGGCCCTCCCTGCAGTGGGTGTCGGCACCTGAGGGAGATCGGTGGGGCTCAGCCTTCCCCGAGCAGGGGCAGCCCCTCGGGCCCTGCCGCGGACCGGCCCTGGGGCCCCTGAGGAGGGTGGCCACGGGGGGCGTCGGCTGAAAGGTGCCCCGGGGGCCCGAGGGGGCTGAGGACCTTGGTCGGAGGGCAAGGATGCCGGGTCAGGAAGACCGCGGCCCAGGGAGGCCCAGCGAGTCCAGGGGGGACGGGGTCGGGCCCGAGCGCGGGCAGCACCGAGGGAGTTGGGAGCCCAGGACACAGGGGTCGAAACTGAGGTCGGGCCCCAGGATCAGTCCGGGCAGGCCCCGGGCGGGATGGGGACACGTGGCCAGCGTGTCGGGACTGGCGCGTCCGGGTCTCAGAGACACTGGGGGCCTTGGCAGAAGGAGGGGGCCTCCCTCAGTGGGGTAGAGGGGCGGGCACTGGTCCTGCTTTGTTTCATGGTGAGGATGGAGGAGGATTGAGGGACCCTGGACCCCAGCCCAGAGTCAGTCGGGGAAGATCCGCGGTGGGGGATGGGAGCACATGGCAAGTCCGGACTTCCGCATCCGGGTCTCTGAGTGAGGAAGGGCCTGGTGTAAGGAGCCGATCTCAGGTCGTCAGCGGGAGGGCTCAGGCGTGAATGGGATTCAAGGTATGAACCCTGAGGGACGCCAGAGGGGACCTCACGGACATCGGCTCCCAAGGCCATTCCGGGAAGCCCCCCGGGCGGGATGGGGACAAGTGGTCCGGTGGCCTGACTGGAGCCTCCGGGCCTGCGAGAGACTGGGAGCCTTGGTGGCGGGAGAAGGGCCTCCCTCAGGCGGGCAGAGGGGCGGGCACAGGTCGTGCTGGGCTTCACGGTGAGGACGCAGAAGGAGGACTGAGGGATCCAGGACCCCAGCCCAGAGTCAGTCAGGGAAGGTCCGTGGTGGGGGGATGGGAGCACGTGGCGAGTCCGGACTTCCGCATCCGGGTCTCTCAGGGATAAGGGCCTGGTGTAAGGAGCCGGTCTCAGGTCGTCAGCGGGGAGATCTCAGGGGCGATTGYGAGCCACGGTATGAACCCTGAGGCAGGACAGAGGCGACCTCAGAGCCTTCGGGCCCCCGGGTCAGTTTAGGAAGGCATCTGGGCGGGATGGGGTCCGTATCCCCAACGGTGGGGCTCGCGTATCCGGGTTTCTCTAGTGACTGGGGACCTTGGCAGAAGGAAAAGGGCCTCCTTCTGGCGGGCGGAGGGGAGGGCACAGGTCATGCTGGGCTTCATGCTGGGCTTCACGGTGGACTCTGGACCCCAGCCCAGAGTCAGTCCAGAAGGTCCGTGAGGGGGGATGGGAAGACGTGGCGAATCGGGAATTCTGCATCCGGGTCTCCGAGAGACTGAGGGCCTGATGGACCAAGCAGGGCCACCCTCCGGTGGGCAGAGGGGTTGGTCCCGGCGAGTCTGGGAGGAACGACCAGGCCTGAAACATGAGGGATGACGGAGGAGACTCTGGCAGAAGCGCCCCCTCTGATGTCAGTCTAGGGAGGCCGCCCTGGGCGGGGAGGGGACTCAAGCCCAGTGCCGTCCGATTCCCCCATCCTGGTCTGTGGAAAGATTGGGGGCCTTGGTGGAAGGAGGGGGGCCTCGGTCAGGTGGGTAGAGAGGGCCCAGGCAGTAACCCGAGTCAAGGTATGAACTCTGAGGAGGACAGAGGAGGCCTCGCAGGGGTTGGGCCATAGTGTCCGTCCAGGAGGATCCCTGGGGGGCATGGGACTGCATAGCGAGACCGGACCTCAGATTCTGGGTCTCAGAGGGTCAGGAGGCCTAGTGTAAGGAGCAGGGCTTCAGTTCAGCAGGGGGAGGGCCCGGGTTCTCTCAGGATTCAAGGTGAGCACTAGAGGGAGGACCGAGGGCCCCCAGACCCAGTAGGGAATCAGTCCTGGGAGGCCCCTGAGCAGGAGGAGGTAAGTGGCATGTGCAGAATTCCACATCCGGGTCTCAGAGAGGCTCAGGGTTGGGGTGAGAGGCACAGCCTCAGGTCAGCAGCAGGGAAGGTTCAGACCCTGCTGGAGTCCAGGTGAGGACCCTCAGGGAGAAGTGAGGGGACCCTGGACCCCAGAACAGAGTCATTGAGGGAGGCCCTTGAGCAGCTGTCTGCCTGAGTCGCACCCCCACATTTGGCCGTGGATCTCGGGGATGTGCGGGGAGGTCAGAGAGGAAAGGACTCCGGACAGCGGAGGGCGTGGCCCCAGGTCCTGCTGGAGTCCAGAAGGGATGCAGGCTGAGAGTTGAGGTCCTTAGAGCCTAAAACAGAAGGTGATTTTGTTGCCCTTGGGCTCCTTCTTGGATGTCCCCCAAGGTGGGGGGAACAGCTAAGGTGTTTCCTGACTTTTAAAGTGTTTCACCCAGGGTCTGGGGGAAGGGAGAGCCTGGGTCTGAAGAGTGTGGCCTCAGGTCGGCAGAGGGGGGAGCCCCAAGACCCCGAGGGAGGACTGAGCAGACCCCTACCCGGACATAGGGGTTCCAGATGAATGGGTGCCCCGAGGGTCAGTCCTGCGAGGCCAGGCCGGGTGTCGCGAAAAATGAGGATCCTGCTTTCCCCTCTGGGTCTCAGTGGGATGGGGGACTTGGCCTGCAAGGTGCCTCCTGAGGTTAGGAGAAGGGATACTTCCAGGTCCTGCTGAAAGTAAACATGAGCACTTTCAGGACAGAGAGTGGACTCCCGCCCCAGGACAGAGGGGCCAGCCCCCGATCTCAGCTCTTTATGAGTGGGGTGCGGTACAGGGGGGAGGGGGTGGAGGGCTGCCTCCTCACCCTCCTCTGGGAGCTCTCAGGGAGGCGAGGGCCATGCTGGGAGAGGTCGGAGTCGGGTCATCTGAGGAAGCCCACCTGGGAGACACACAGGAGGCCCTGGTCCTGGCAAGAGTCAATGTGGGGACCCCCGAGGCAGGAGCGAGGGCTCCCAACCCACCCCTTGGGACAAGGAGGGGATGGCCCAGAAATCTGGCCAGCTCTCCCTGACCGCCCTGAGAACCCTGGCCGGGTCTGTCAGGCGGAGCCCCTCTTCGTCCCCAGATCCCTGGGCTCTGGGAGGGGAGGGCGTGTGCCTGAGGGTCTGTACTCAGGTCAGTGGAGGAGGCAGGGACCCCGGCCCTGGCCCTAGCAGGGATGGAGGAGAGAAATGAGGAGATGCCTCCCACAACTGGATCCCCAGGGCCCAGGCCTGCCCTCACACTTCTGTCAGCCATGGGAAGACGGGGCATCGGTGGGCAGACTGATTTCTCCTTGCTTTTCCTTTTGGCTTCTCCGTGAGATGAGGCCTCGACACCAGGAGGGTGGCCTCCAGGCAACACAGGGAGTTTTCCCAGGCCTTCCTGGGGTCAAGGTATAGACAAAGAGGCAGACCCATCCCGCATAGACGGAACCCCACGATCGGCCATCCCTGGAGATCCGTGACGAGCCCCGTAGACCTAATGCAGGCCGGTCCAGATGTGGACCCCCTCGCTTTCCTTCCGTGGAGGCCCAGGGCTGCGTGGTCTTGCTGGGACCCTTTGGCCTCTGGGCCAAGGGGGTGGGGCTTAGGTCCTGGCAGGGGAAAGAAGTCCCCTGAGAGGCCAAGGAGGGGACCGCCCAGCCTGGACGGGTGGCCCACTCAGGGAGTCCAACCCAGCCCTCCCGTGTGCCCTGGGCCCCGGGCCTGTGCTGTAAGTCTGCACCGTCAGGCGCCTCCTCCTTTTATCCCCCAGGGGCGTCGAGAAGGGGCTGTTGAGCCCTCGGTGTGAGGCAGGAGTCCCTGGGATCACGGTGCAGGTGAGTGCCAGCGGTCAAGGTGAGGTACTTGCTCTGAGCCTGGAGCCAGGGGCTCGCCCATGCCAACCCAGAGGGGAACCCTGGGCACCCATGGGCGACGCAGCCCACTGTCAGCTCTGGGACGTCCGGGCCTCTGCTGGCTGGGCTGCACCCCGAGGAGCCACGCACCTGTGTCTTCAGGTTCAGCCCGACACCAGCGCCATGCCCCTGGGTCAGAGGAGTGAGCTGTGGAAGCTGGAGGAAGACCCTGGACCAGGACCAGGCCAGGGCCTGGAGGAGGCACAGCAGTGCGGGGCTGGAGGGGTGGAGGCCCTACCTCCCTCCGCCGCCTCTGCCTCCTCCCAGTCCACCGCCCCTTCCCTCTCCTGCTCTGCCCTGTCTCTGGGCCCCCCGGAGGAGGGGTCTGCTGCGGGGACCCCGAGTCCTCCCCAGAGCCCTCAGAGGGCCTGCCCCTCAGCCATGGCCATGGCAGCCACTGCCTGGCGCCAGCCCGACCAGGGCTCCAGCAGCTCAGATGAGGAGGGCTCCAGCACCTGGGAGGAGTCTGAAGAAGCCGAGCCCTGGCTCTCAGACGTACTCCAGGAGAAGACAGCTGACCTGGTGGGGTTCCTGCTCCTCAAGTATCTCACCAAGGAGCCGACCAGCCAGGCGGAGATGCTGGCGATCGTCGGCGAGGGTGAGCAGGACGCCTTCCCCGGGATCCTGGGCCAGGCGTCCGAGTGCATGCGGCTGGTGTTCGGCGTGGAGGTGAAGGAAGTGGACCCCAGCGAGCACTCCTACGTCCTGGTCACCGTCCTGGGCCTCACCTGCGATGCGATGCTGAGCGGTGAGCAGGGCCCGCCCAAGACCGGCCTCCTGGTGGTGCTCCTGGGGGCGATCCTCCTGGAGGGCGACCGTGCCCCCGAGGAGGTGGTGTGGGAAGCGCTGGGGGTCATGGGGGTGTATGCCGGCGAGGAGCACATCATCTACGGGGAGCCCCGGGAGCTCCTGACCAACGTCTGGGTGCAGGAAGGGTACCTGGAGTACCGGCAGGTGCCCGGCAGTGACCCTGCCCGCTACGAGTTCCTGTGGGGTCCCAGGGCCCACGCGGAAACCAGCAGGTTGCAAGTGCTGGAGTATTTGCTGCGGGTCTATCCCGGGCTGCCGGTTTCCTCCCTGGCCCCCTCTGAAGAGGCTGTGAGCGAGGAGGAAGAGGGGGCCTGAGCCCCAGGGGCGGCTGTGGTGCGGTCCCGGCTCCGGCGGGGTCGGCACTTGTCCTGCGGGGTGCTGGGCACGAAGTGAGGCCGTTTCTTGGTTCTTCCCTGTTTCTGTGTGTGTGTGTGTGTGTGTGTCTGTGTGTGTGTGTGTGTGTGCGCGCGCGCGTGAAGCGAGAGCCCTGGGATTTCTAAGCAGTGCAGGGCCAGGGAGGGTTGGGGGGAAATGCAGGGCAAAGAGCCTCCTTTGGGAGTGTGGAGGGCGGTTCCCTGCGATGCCTCCCACGGTCAGAGCTTGGTGTCCCTGGCGAAGCTCTCCGGTGGGCTTCCTTGTTATAGGAGGATCATTGGCTTCAGCGGCTGAGTGTGTGAGTGACATCCCCCAACACAGCGTTTGTCCTGACCCAGTTCAAGAGTTACGAGTTTTGTCATGTCCCGGAGCCGTCTGCGGGGCTCCGTTGGTTAAGCATCTGCCTTTTGCTCAGGTCAGGATCTCAGGATCTTGCGAGCTAACCCCACATCGGGCTCCCTGCTCAGTGGGGCCTGTTTCTCCCTCTCCCTCTCTGTGTGCTGTTTCTCGAATAAATAAATAAAATATCTTGAAGCAAAAAGGATTTTGGCCATGTCCTAGAGACCAGCCTAGACACTTTGCCTCCTTTTTTGGGTTCTGGACCAGGATCCCAGGGCTGGGCCTCGGGATGGGTTGGGAAGGCGAAAGAATGGAATAGGAAGGGGAAGGGGGTCAGGAATGGGGGAAGGTAAGCGCGTGGGTTCTTGCCTCTCTGATGCCCCGCTGGCTGTCATGGTGTAAATGCCAGAGGCACACACACGGGGCTCCTGCCCTGGCTGGGTTCTTCAAGAAAGGAGGAGAAGCGTCCTCTCGGCACAGAGGGAGCTCTGCTCCCTGGCTCCTCGATTCCTAGACATGGGCTGAGTTCTACTGTCTGGAAGGCCCTGCGGGTGAGCGCGGAGGACGCTAGAAGCAGGACGCGTCCCAGCCATAGGGGACCGTGTGTGGCAGTCCCAGTCCTGGCACGAAGGTGGGCAGGCGTGCCCTGAGAGCTGCAGATGAAGCGGAAGCAGAGTGAGGGGGTGTTGCTCCCGAGGCGAGCACTGCCCTGGAAATGCCCCTGACCCAGCCCGGGTGGCAGGGCTGTGACCTGAGGGGCCCCATGATCGCTTCTGTGCTGCTGGTCACGGGGAAGCCGGGTGGTGACAGTGGCCCTCCTTGGGGATCGGGTGCTTTGGGGGCGGGAGAGATGTCTTAAACGGATAAATGCTGGGAGCAGTTTGCGTTGGGCTGTGGAGAAGGCCGAGTGAGTGTCCTGTGGCCTGAAGGTACAGCGTGCCGGGCCGTGTCACAGGGTATTTGAACGCAGTGAAGGTTCAGTGGCTTTACTCCTGCCGTCTCCACGAACGTTCCGTGGACGACAGCGGGGAATGCGCAAGTCCCGGACAGCCCTGTTCCCCCTGGACTGGGGGAGCCCTCGCTGCCTCCTCGGCCAGGAGAAAGGATCGGGGCTCCCCGGAGTTGTCCGCGGCCAGTCCTGAAGAGTGGCTGGGTGTTCGTGGGAAGAAAGGAAGGAAGCTCAGAGGTCTGCATGGGAGAGAAGCTGAAAAGAGGCATCGAGGTGGTCTCTTCCTGTTCCTGGGGACCGTTGGGTTCCTTGCACGGAGCTGGTCTGGACCCCCTGCCCCACCCTCACCCATTTGGGCACGATCTGTCCTCCCGGAGGTGCACGGGCAGAGAGCACGGTGTGCTTCGCTTCTCTGACGTTCCAGTCGAACCCCGCGTCTGTGATCAGTCGGGGCAACGGAACATTTAGAGAGGGGGAGAGTGGCGGGAGGGGGGGGGAGGTCACAATAGCACCGGACAGCTGTCCCAAGCACTGCAGACCCTCAGACGCCAGCGTGCACGTGTTCCGGCCTCTTCCAAAGCGGGCCAGGAGCAGAGACTCACGGGTTAGAGAGGATGCGGACTGTGCATCCGAGGAAAGCGAACATTCTCCGCCCACTGAGACCTTGGAGGTTATGGCCCTGGGAAGTGCCGAAAGGGGCTCGGGAGTGAGTAGGGCGATCGGCCCCGCTGAGATGCCCTAGCCACGTACGTGCGCGTGCCAACTCGTGAACGTTCGATGCGATCCCGCACTTGAAGCCCCTGCCCCTGGGTCTTTGGGCACATCCAAAGGCGGAGACTTGCAAGGCCAATTTGACTTTCTCAGGAACCCCTCCCGGAAATGAGGGGGTTTTGCCTCGGCAAAGTAGAAAAGCCGCTTTGGGCTGAGAACGTAGTCCGCAAGAGTGAATCAGAGCGATGTCCAGTGCTGGGGCCCCTCTTGTGCTCCTCCTGCCCCCAGGCTAAGGGGGAAACAGCGTGGCCAGTCCTCTTGGCCCTTAGGAAGGCTCCCGTGGCAGAATCCTGTTTGTCACGGGCATTCCTATCGAAGGCGCCCCAGGGACCCTGGATCCGTTCTTTGCCCTGACAGCACAGAACAGAGAGCGCGCTGCGTCCTCAGCCAGACACTGGTGTCAGACCCACGGACCCTTATGCGTGTGTGTCCTGCCCGACGGGTGGGCCTCACTGCTCTGTGCAGGGCGGGCGGCCTTCCCCACAGGAGCCCCCGCTCGGGAAACGGGCAGTAGGGATGCTTCCTGCCCCCTGCACCGCCAGGTCCCTGAGCTACCCCGTCAGTCCCCTCGGGGCCGTCGTGAGTGTCTTTTGGGAGCCGGGCAGCCAGCTGCATGCGGGCCTTGTGGGAACAGGGCGGGGGTCCTCCTCCTGGGGCCCGGCCCGCGGCCCCCATGCCTCGTGCACCGCCCAGCCTGTCCCGACCCTGGCCTCGGTCTGCAATGTCTGGGGTCTCGTCCTCCTGTCTCCCCGCTGCCAAGCCCTCACTCCCCAGTCCCCTCACACTCATCTTTGCTCGGGAGGCCCCAGCCACGAATCCCGCTCAGCGTGCCCGTGCTTCCGCTAGAGCTGACTCAACACCCTGGTGGCGGGTGCGCCCAGGGCCCGCGAATGACAGTCATCGCCCCGTGACTGTGTGAGCCCGTGTACAATGCTGTGTTCCTTTCGGAGATCTCCTGTGTAACCCCAACTGCTTCATGAAGCTGGTGGCCTTGTGCAAGTGACTCGGACGCTTTGCTTCCTGAGGCTGAGCCAGAGAGGGCGTGTGTCCCTGTCAGCCATCCCCAGAGCCTGCTGGGACCCTGGTGTCTGCAGTCGGGCCGTTGGAGCAGAGGAGAGACTTGGCAGGTGACGGCGGGGCCGCCGGGACGCTCCCCCACTCACCCCAGACACCCCCAGTCTCAAATGAGGACTTAGAAAGCAGCCATGGAGGAGCGGGTTCGGGTTCCCAGGCGGCAGGCTGTACAGAGGCTTGGCCGCCCCAGGAGAGGTGGAAGGAGGAGCACCCCCACCGCATCCCGTCTGGACTGCCCTGGGCTGAGCAGGGGAGGGTCAGGGGAGCCCAGAGGAGGCTGAGGTGAGCTGGAGCCTGTTTGACCTCGTGAACTGGGTGCTCTTGGCCCAAGTCCCAGGACTGGAGCCCGTGGGGCACTCCAGGATGGAAGCAGGGGTTACTCTGCCAACAGGACCTTCCCATGTTCCTTTTGTGGGGAACGGATGCGTCTAGCTCTAAGGGGTATAACAGTGTAGCAGCTAGGACATGCCCTAGGCCTTCAACCCATTTCCTTGGAGTCATTCCTAGAATGCAGTTCTTTAGCCATAGCCTGCTATGCGGGCTCATGCCACCCAGGTCCTCAGCTATCCTAACCAGGGTAAGGCATATCAGACAGGAGCTCCACAGCCCGAGGACTCTCAGTCATTGTGTTTCTGCTCTGAGGATCTGATGTTTTCCTCCAGGTGTAGCTAAACTTGCTCTGCATGCTGGTGTTCTTTGCAAGGAGTTGAGTTCCTCCTGACTCTTGCCAGACCTTCCCTGTGGCAGACACCACTGCAGATGTCTTAAAGCCCTTCTTGGGCAAATCGTGTTTGCAGGCCTACATCTGGCATCATTGGCAGCCTCCTGCTCTAATCCAGGGAAGACGTGTGAGGCAGGGTTCAGGCAGTGGTGCAGGGCTTGAGAAAAGGAGTGGATTGTGGAGATGTTTATGAGATGGAATAATCCAGACTTGTGTATGATAATATGCTTGGGAGTTAAAGGAGAGGAAAGAAAGAATATTCAGGAGTTTTTTCCACACCGTTTTTGTGTGCTTGTGTTTACTTTTCTTTTTTCTTTCTTTTTTTCCCTACCCATTATGTTTTGTTCAGTTTCTTTTTGTCCTTTTTATTTAAAATTTTCAATAAACTATTTATTTTAAACTATTTTATTTTAGATTTGTAAACAATTTGCAAAGGTATTACAGAGTTTGTACATGCCCCTCCCCCAGTTTCGCACTATGAACAGCTTCCATTTATATGGTATGTTTATTACAATTAATGAGCTAATATTGATGCATTATTTATTATTAACTGAAGTCATACTTTACTCAGAGGTCCGCCATGTTTACCTAGTGTCTGTTTTCTGTTCCAGGATCCCAGCCAACATACTAGGTTATATTGTTTGTAATATTTCCTTGGCTGTGGTCGTTTCTTTGTTTTTGATGAGCTTGACTGTTTTGGGGAGGAATGATTAAATTATTCATACATTGTCCCTCAGTCAGGATTTTTTATGACGTTTTGCTCATGATTAGTCTAGAGTTGTGTGTTAGGAAAAAAGACCATGGCAGTAAAGTCAGGACATCATATCAATAGCACATACTATTAGCATGATTTATCACTAAGAATGTTTACCTCGGTCACCTGGCTGAGTTAATGCCCATTAGGTGTCTCCACTGTAACGTTACTGTTTCTGGCCTCCTGTTCATATTGTCGTCCTCAGAAGAAAGTCACCATGTGTGGCCCATACTTCAGGGCTAGAGAATTAGGCTCTATCTTGAAGTGGAAGTATCTGCATAAACTGGAATTTTTCTCCATTGGAGATTTGCCTCTTCTTCCATGTTTATGTATTTAATCAGTCAAATATTTCTTTTCAA